GAGCCTCAGCCCTGGCCTGACTCCACTAGGAGCCCGATGACCTTGAGGAGGTCACTGAACCTCTGAGCTTCCGGCCTCCTCCTTGCTGAGGAAGGGAGCATCTCGGCTCGTCCCTGGGGGACGCTGCTTCCAAGACGGGGCCGTGTACACGCGCCTCACCAAGAGGAGGGGCTGCTGCTCCCATGACCCCAGGGGGCTGACGTCCTGGGGCCCTTCCAGCAGCCTTCCCAGGCTTTGCTGCTTCCTCATGTGCCTTTTTGCAATTCTGTCCTGACCTCGTCTACCCCAAGGAGGGGGGACACAGCCCCCCTTTGGCTGTGCGCCTTCCCAGTGAGGCCCTTCCTTTGGCTTCTTCAGAGTCTAACCTATTTTCCAAAGGAAGGCCTCCTTTCCTATCACAAGACTGAGAAAAGTGGCATTTTACTGCTCATCGATGACGTCCTCGCTCTCGCGGGGCTCTTTATCCAGCTGACAGGACGGTCCCCTCCGGGATTTTCCCGGGGCCCGGGCACAGGGCCCACTGCAGAAAGCCTCAGGTGGGGGACCTTGCCGTAAGTGCTCGCATTTCTTGTCCCATATGTGATCCTGAGGACTGTGCCCCAACTCGCCGCAAACACGCTGTAGGAAGGGCCCCCCTCTGGAAATAACTTTTGCCTCCTGCTTGCACGCGGGGAGGGAGACCAGGAAACCTTGTCCTCTTGACAGGTCGCTGGGTGCTGGTGTGCACGTGGCTCCGGGAAGTGAGCTCCTCACAGTGCATCAGGCGCACGCCGCGGCCTCTGCAACATCTAAGTCTGCCTCCATCCCAGGCTGTACCTAATATGCTGGCACTTTGGTGGAAAAAAACCAAACTAAAAAAATTTTTTTTACTTACTGGATGTGCCTTTTTATTGCGTAAGCTTGTAATTTCTCTTTCGGGAGACCATTTTAGTGGAAGGAATAATGTCACTAATATGAAACCATTGTTTGTTTTTTGTTGTTTTTTAAATCCCTTTGGTCTTTTAAACTTCTCCTCTGGGTTACCTCACCCTGCTTTCTTCTTATCTGCTTACAGCACCTTGTCTTTTGTTCTGTCCTTCCCAGTCTTTATCCAGGGTCTGAAACCCAATAGGCTCCTGGATGTCAGAGGGAGAAGCCGGTGGCTGGTTCTAGGCTTGCTTTGCTTCTTGCTCAGCTCTGCGAGCCCTGCCCCTTCCTCCTCATCTCTTCTTCTTGCTTATTCTCCTGGGGACTCTTGGCAGCAAAACCCCACATGGTAGGCCGTGGGCCGGTGAGGCTATTACGGCCTCACAGGGCTCAGAGGGGGAGCCTGTGGCCGGGAAGCTGCCATTGCAAGATGCAGGGGCACATCATGGTCCGGGCACGAGCTACGTGTTCTCCGTAGGTTTTAAAAACAAGGTCTTAACGCTCTGAAGATGAACATCAGCTGGTCGGAGGATAGAGACCACACTGCAGATACGCCAAGCCAATTGGCTTCTCCAGCACAAACGTGGAACCCACGAGAACTAACGCGTATTAAATAACACTGGGCCGACGCGCCTACATCACTCTGTTGGATCACCTTGGACTTCACCACGGGCGGCGAGATGACTGTCAACGGATGAAGCAGTGATTCTTTTTCATAGACCAATCTCTTAACTACAGATACAAAGGTGTGAGGGCCCGGGAGGGGAAAGTTTCGGGTTTCCATCAAATCACTGTAATCTGAACCTAGTCCTCAGATGACTATTATGCCAACAGTTTCTTGGTGAAATACAGCTCATTGTGAATTCTGATTACATTTCCTATTCCGTCCCAAAGAGACAGAAAGGAAGTTAAGTTATATTCGATCATATTACCCAAAGCCACCTGGTGTCTGGGCGGTCATTGCCACGCAGAGGCAGAGGGCCGTGCCGTGCAGGGGCCGGCTCTGGCCTGCTGGGCTCTGGCGCACGGCCTTGACCTCTTAGGCTTCAGGCAAGGAGTTTGTAAGCATCAGGAGTGGGTTACAAGAACACAGGTGTACCTGTGTGCTTTCATCATGGACAAAGGCGAATGATTTTCGCTCACGTTAAATGAATGAAGATGACGTCCCTTGAAACGCGAGCATGATTTGTCTCTTGCTCACAGCAATGTTACCGATTTTAATATATCCCGTTTCTCCAACCATATTCTATGAAGCCAAGTCCACAGGGTGGAGCAGGTGTACCAAGGATCTATTTCAGTGGGGATGGGCCGCTCTGGGTATGTGGACCACTCGTGAGCTCATAGAACAATGTGGATGGTCATTTCTCAAGTGCGTCGGCCACACCGATCCCCAGAGGAATTTGTTAAGATGAGGTTTCTGATCAAGACGGAGATGAGGCCGGTGTCCTGGGCGGCTCGGAGCTGCGGGGGCTGTGATGGACACGTTAGGGTAGCAGTGTGGCCTCCTGTCTTTAGGGGCCCCAGACTGTCAGCAGAGTTAATAGGCGCACGTGTGCTATTTCAAGTCCACGCAACAGTGCAAGCCCCGGTTCTCCGTCCTGTTCTTCGCACACATTGCTTCCTCCTGGAAAGCCAAGTGTGGGTTAGGCCAGGAGTTCGGGCTCCAGCACAGCTTGGGGGGCCGCCCAGCTCCGGCTCCCGGTCCTCGGAGGGTGCCTAGCATTACCGTTGGGCCAGGCAGGAAGGCCCCAGGGAACACAGCATCAGGCTTTGGGCCTGAGAATTACCGTTGGGCCCCCCAGGCCAGGCGCCACGGGGGTGATGCACCCCAGCTCCGGCGGCACAGGGTGCCGCCCAGGGAGCCGAGGGGGAATGCGAGAGAAGTAGTGATTCCCGGAGAGAGAAAGAGGAGGCCCCGGGACCCAAGGGGCTGACTGGCTGCAGTGCATGGGCCTGGGGGGTAGGAGGGTGTGGGTAGGAGGTGGCTGGGGGGAGGCCGGGGTGGGAAAGGCTAGGTAGGAAGCCTCGGGGGAGCTAGGTAGGAGGCCGGGGGTGGGGGGGTGGAGGCCAGGTGAGAAGGGGGGGTGTAGGAGGTGGGAGGGGGTGTAGGAGGTGGGAGGGGGTGGGGTAGGAGGGAGGGAGGCCAGGTAAGAAGGGGTGCCGGGTAGGAGGCTGAGTGGGGGGAGGCCAGGTAAGGAGCCTGGGGGAGGCCGAGTAGGAGGCCGAGTTGGGGGGATGAGGCCAGGTGAGAAGCCTGGGGGGGGGGCTGGGTAGGAGACCCGGGGTGGGAGTGGGGTGTGGGTGATGGAGGCTAGGTAAGAAGGGGAGAGTCCAGGTAAGAAGTGGGGGTGTGGGGGTGTGGGGGCAGGTAGGAGGTATGGGGGGCAGGGGGCACGCACACGGCCCAGGTCCGGGGTCCCCCTCTTGCACCCAGGGCCCCCGTACACACCCCAGTCCCGGGGTCCCCGTGCTGCACCCAGGGCCCCCCCACCCTGGTCCCAGGGTCCCCCTACTGCACCCAGGGCTCCCCCACCCTGGTCTGGGTCCCCCTGCTGCACCCAGGGCCCCCACCACCACCCTGGTCCGGGGTCCCCGGGCTGCACCCAGGCACCCCCCGCACACAGCCCCTGGAGGAGGAGCGATCCCGGGGTGGCCTGAGGGCACTCCTGAAATGCCGCAGCCCTGTGGGGTCCACAAAGGGGCCCTTGTGCGTCTGTTGATCCAGGGCCCTGACGCCCTGGGAAGGCTGTTTGGCTGCGCTACAGCCCTTCACATGGTCTCCAAGCACAGATTTGCTTTCATTAAGAAGAAAAAAGATCAAAGGAGGAAGGTCTCATCTTGAACCTCGCCGTCCTTCTCTGTCCTTCTCTGGGCCAGCGCTGAGAAGCATTAGCAGACTATATATAACGATTGACCTTGACCCATGGATCTTTCTCTTGGTTTACTTTTTCTTCTTCTTTGAAAGGGGGAGGGGCGGAAGGAGAGGGAGGGAGAGAACCTTAAGCTGACTCTCCTCTGAGAGTGGAGCCCGGCTGGGGCAAGATCTCACAACCTTGAGGCTATGACCTGAGTGGAAATCAAGAGTCGGCCGCTCAAGCGACTGAGCTCCCGGGGGGGCCCCGTGATGAACCAATTGATGCTTTGAAACACTTTTCAGCTTTTCAGCCAGAGTCTGCGGCACGTGTTTGGCTTTTTAATGCACTTCTCTCCCTCATCGTGCCAGACTGGGTGCCGGTATTTTGTTGGGAGGAGGAAGACTTCCAGTGCAAGTAAGACAAAAGCAGGTATCACACATGATATATCGGGAATTATGTGATGGGACCTGAACACCTACACATCCCAAGGAGATGAGGATTTCCTGGCCACTCATGGCACGGTCTTGCCAAATAATCACTGTCAACAAATGTTTGCACCCCAAGCTCTAAAACATTTAGTTGGTAGGAAAGGGCTTTTTTTTTTTGTGAGAAATAACTCATTTTTGCTTATCCAAAGATTCTAACTCAATGAAGAATGGAGACTCCTGATGGAGAACTTGTGTGTTCAGAACAAGGAACGACAACACCCCTGCTGTGTGTTGTGTGTGTGTGTGAGGCTGCAAGACGTACCATTAGATCCTCATTTACTGATATGAGGACCCCTAATGAACATAAAGAACTTTAAACGTTAAATCTTTGACTCAGCACACATTTTATGGCAAGCAGCTCAGATCATCTAAAAACAGAATAAAGAGGCCACGATATCTAGGTTGTGAGACTCATTTTTTTCTAGATAAAAGGAGAAAGCATGATTTCTACTTTGACCTCCAGAACTAAAATGTTCAGGGGAATGCAGGGCAAGATCCTGGATGGTCTGTCCTGTGATCCCAGCAGGGACGAGAGGCTTTTCACTGCAGGTGCTGGGAGCGTCTGATGGGGAACTCCACACATACTGCTTAATGAGGATGCGAAGGACTGTCGCTCTAAGGAAAACTCTCCTGCACCACCTATGTAGGTTTGGTCCCCAACCAAGGAGTTTATTAAAATGGTCATCTGGACATTTCCCATATTGAGCTCCTTCCCATATTGATCCTGAGAACATCTGCAATTTATACTTACAGGGACTGAAGGCTTCGCAGGTTCTGCAGAGCTTCCGAGGGAACCTGTCCTAGGTGATTATTCTGCAGCATGCTGCATGTGAAAACAGATGAAGAAAAGCATTAAAGGAGGTTTACAGTAATTTCTTTTTACAATATTTTATTTATTTATTCATAAGAGACACACAGAGAGGGGCAGAGACACAGGCAGAGGGAGAAGCAGGCTCCCTGCAGGGAGCCTGATGCGGGACTCAATCCTGGGACCCCAGGATCACGTCCTGGGCCCAAGGCAGATGCTCAACCTAATCAATAATTACATAATTATACAGTTAAAATCAATAATAACCAGCCATAGCAGTGCCAGGCACTGATCTAGGTGTCAGGGAAGCAGCAGAGCCTCAGACCGAGTCTTGGCCCTTGGGGAGCTCCCATTCCTGTGTGGACTGAAAGATAATTAAATATGAACGGATGAGCGTATGGTGTCAGACAAGGGATAGGTACTGTGGATAGAAAACAAAACATGGATTTGGGATAGATGGCTACAGGGGTGAGATTTTTTATTTTAAAGGTGGTCAGAGAAGATCCTTCTTAGGAGGTGACAGTTGAGTGGAAACCAGAATGGAGTCAGGGAGCAATTCGTGTGTACATCTGGGAAGAATTTCTGAGTTGGGGGAGTAAGTGCAAAGGCCCAGAGGCCGGAACTTGCCTGACTCGTTCAAGGAGCAGCAAAGGATCCGAGTGAGGAGGAGTGAGTGAGTGCAAGAGGTTGGGAGAAACTGAGGCCATCCCATGGAGGCCTCACAGGCTCCGGTGAGGCTTTAGGTGTGGCGAGAAATGCATTGAAAGGTATCAGAAAGGGAGACAGAACATAAAGACTCCTAACTCTGGGAAACGAACTAGGGGTGATGGAAGGGGAGGAGGGCGGGGGGTGGGGGTGAGTGGGTGACGGGCACTGAGGGGGACACTTGACAGGATGAGCACTGGGTGTTATTCTGTATGTTGGTAAATTGAACACCAATAAAAAATTAATTTATTAAAAAAAGAAAGGTTTATGTAGGGAAATTATAGGATCTTATTTATGGTTTTTCTCCCCCCCTTTTAAAAAGTTCAGTAGAGTCGGCACACAATGTAACCCTAGTTTCAGGTGCATGACCTGTTGATGTGATTTACGCTATGTTCATCACACGTGTAGCGACCACGGGGCCCTTACGTGGCTGTTATTATGAGGTCGCCGACTGTGTTCCTTGGGCTCTGCCTTTTATTACTGCGACTTATTCATCCCATAACTGGAAGCCTGTATCTCCTACTTCCCTTCACTGATTCTGCTCACCACCCTTACCCCCGGCCCCCTCGGGCAACCATCAGTTTGTCCTCTGTATTTATAGGTCTGAGTCTGCTTTCTGTTTGTTTATTCATTTTTTTAAAATTCAACTTATGAGTGGAATCATGTGGTATTTGTCCTTAGCCGGATTTATTTTCCTTAGCATAACACTCTCCGAGTCCATCCACATGGTCTCAAGTGGCATGACCTCATCCTTTTCATGGCTGCATAATATTCTCACACACACATTTTCCTTATCCATTCACCTACTGATGGGCACGTGGGTTGCTTTCATATCTTGGTCACCGAAAGTCACTGCAGTAAAGACAGTGGTGCATGTATCTTTTCAAACTAGTGTATTTGTCTTCTTCTTTTTTTTAGTTATCTTTTTTTAAATAAATTTATTATTTATTGCTTAGTGTATTTGTCTTCTTTTGGTAAATCCCCAAGAGTGGAATTATTGGAACGTATGGGATTTCCATTTTTGACTTTTTGAGGAACCTCCATGCTTTTCGCCACAGCGGCTTGCTTACCTGATAGGCATTCCCACCATCAGTGGACAAGAGCCCCCCATGCTTTCTCCACATCCTCAACAGCACTGGTTTTACTTGTGTTTTTAAAAGACCACTCTGATGACTATATAAATTAGGCAAAATGGAAATATGGATACACTAGGAAGCTATTCAAGATCCCCTTTCTTCTTGTGTGTGGTCCTATTTTAATACAGAGCTGTTGCACTTTTGCTCGCAGGGGTTCAACAGTTCTTTTTAGGACGTGAGGACCACGGAATAGAAACACCTGGTAACAATGAAATAAAAAAATATAAAAAAAGAAATAAAAATATATCGTTGCGGGCAGTGAACTAGCAAGGAAAAAAAATCCCCATTAGATGCCTTGTATTTTGCTATCTTATTCATAAATGTTTACAATACCCTAATTTTGCAGCCATTCCCCCTGTATTCCATGGTTTATGTAAACCAGAGGCAGAAGACTATTTTAGGAAAGCAGACATTTGGTGGAAACATTTCTTTTTTTTTTTTTTTTTGGCGGAAACATTTCTGTTTGTTAGGTTACCAGCTTACATTTGGATCTCAGACCATTTGCCTAGTTCTCTTCTGCACAATGGACATTTTTTTACATCAGGCGACCAGTGGGGATCCAGCCCCAGGGACGTCTGACTCTGACCTTGCTGTGCTTTTTGCAGCACCTTGCAGCGTTGTCCTGAGGGGTATTTGCTCAATGTACAGATTCCCAGGTCTCATGGCGGATGGTATGATTAAGGTATGGGTGGGTAAGAGGGTGGGTTCTTTTTTTAAAAAAATATTTTATTTATTAATGAGAGACACAGAGAGATGCAGAGAGAGAAAGGCAGAGACACAGGCAGAGGGAGAAGCAGGCTCCATGCAGGGAGCCCGAAGTGGGACTCCATCCCGGGTCTCCAGGATCAGGACCTGGGCTGAAGGTGGCGCTAAACCGCTGAGCCACCTGGGCTGCCCAAGAGGGTGGGTTCTTGAATCTGTCCACCTCTCCCCTGCCACCAGCAGTGTGGCCTTGGGGAAATCATTCAATTTCTCCACATTTCAGTGACCCATAGTAACACCTACCCCGAGGGCTTACTGCCATGATCCCATGAGCCAAAGTACATGGAACAATCCTTGCTGCATGGTAAGCATTCAATGAAAGTTGGCCCTTTTTGTATGAATTGATGGACTCCTTGTCAAAACGAGCAATATAATGAGATCATACTGGATGTGACATTTTAATTGACCAGAAGATAAAATGCACCCCCCCCCCGCCAAAAAAAAATCTGTGCCAGTGGTTCTCAGACTTCAGGGTTCATCAGAATTCACAGGAAGACTTGTTAAAAAAAATGCAGCTTGTTGGGCCCCACCCTCAAAGTTTCCGGTTCAGTAGGTCTGGGTAGGAGCCAGAGATTTTGCATTTTGCACAAACTTTCAGGTGATCCCAGTGCTGGAGGGCAAAGGCACCACACACTAAGCATCACCCTCTGCTGCACTTAGTTGTTGCTGGTAGCATATGTCTCCTAGACTTGAGGCTACACTGAGGTGGAGTCTTAAGGAGCAACCTATGGAATCTCCCCGACCCTTGGTCATTTATCTGTAAAATGGGAGAATAAGAGTGTCTGATGGATGGGGTGTTTGAGGTTTGAAACATGAAGGCGTTTATAACCCTTTCATCTGCACAGATACGCGTTTGTATACAAGTAAGACATGAAAAATATTCAGAGGTCATAAAATTTATACTTTTCTTACCGCGGCTGAGATCCTGTTTAATAAGGAATAGAATCATGTCACTTGTGTTCCAAAAGTATACCGAGATAATTTCATTATTCAACTCGAATTCAGTTAACATTTCATAAATTAAGAGGGTCAAGTGTATTGGTTCCTTGGGAACAAAGTCAAATTTTAGGAAGCTCTCACACTATGCATACGTGTTAAGGAACTGGGAAAACTGTAGCTTGAATTCCATATTTTGCATAATTTACCTGAATATTACAATTTTACATTTCCAGGGTATGTTGCACTTTTCCGAGTAGTTCTAATATATTATGTTAAACCACAGAAAGATTTTCTAAGTCACTCAGTAATTGAGTGATAAATTTAAATGATGGTAAGACACAGATAATGGACTTAAATCGATGTCTAAACTTTGTAGGTAATATATCACTCTATAAAGTATTTATTGGACTGTCCCTCTATGCTTTGCTAACCAAACGGTGGAACTATTAAAAGGTGGACTTCTTTAAAAAAAAATTAGAAGATTGAAGTAGAGGATAAGACTTATTCAGACGGTTTTCCTTCAAGTAGTTGCAAACTCTTTCTGAAGTTTCATGTATCGGGTTTCAGAAAACAGAGCTTACATGAGCTTTGCCAATGAAAATTTTTAGAGCTACTCCTGCACTACCTCTCAGCTATTTAATTTTTGAACTACTTCTACTACCAGTAAAATACCAAAATTATAATTAAAAAAATCACTTGAGTCCTGATCTTTCCCTAAAATAAAGAACTTCTGTTTAATTACTTTTAAATGACAAAATAAGAGCAAGTTATCTCCATTATATCCTTATAAGTCTCCAGTGAGTTAATTAAAAAATTCTGTTTTTGTTTAAGATAGCCTAGTGGGAGACAAAACAATTAAAGGGTTTATAGCACTAAGGAGTGCAATTAAAACAGAAGGCATTCACAACATGGCTACTGATTTCTTTTGCAAATACTCTTTATTCAGTTCATTGAATATCAGCAGAAAGCACTGAGAACTGAATATGGGTTCAGGCACTGTTAGCTTCATTTTTATCATTTGCATATGGGTGAGAAAAGAAAATAAAACACTTTCTCTAGAGACAGAGGATGGCTGCATCATTTTTTTTGTGCATCATATTTTCTTAATTTCTGTCTCTGATTTTCAAATACTAAAAATCTTAAAATATTTTTATTTTTAAAATTCATTAAAAATCTAAAATGTTTAAATTATTAAACATGCAAAATATTATTTCCTACAGCACCCCATGCTTCTTAATGATACAATGTTTGGTTATCTCTTTTGCCAACAGGACTGATTGAGAACAGGTACAGAGAAGCAAAGGGAGATGAAATCCTCTGTTGCAAGGGGACTTCCAGGGGACTTCCTCATGATCGGTGGCTTGGTATTCCTTCTGCTTAATTGTTCTGTGTTTAGATATCAAGTAACTGTGGAGGCTCTGTTGTAAGTCTATGTGGCAATGAGAGAATTTTGGCTACTGGTGACTTTCCTGCGGTGGGTTTTACCCATTATTTCCACATGGCTTTGGTTCTGGTGCTGGGTGGCAGGATGACTCAATGGCCTACGTGAGCAAATGAACCACGCAAATGAGAGCCTGGTTCAGAATTCCATTGGATTGGGTATTTTGCAATACAGAACCAATAACTTATTTTTTTTATGAGGCCAGGATACAGGGGTACTCTTAAATATTAATGATCTTCCAGAGTTCACAGTAGCAAGATTTCAGATATAACAGAGTCCTAGCCAAGGAGGGCATTGCTATCTTCATTGTCTTAATGGACTGGATTATTATTCTCTCCTCCTCTCTCTCGCACTCTCTTTTCTTAATAAAAAATCCTTACCCTCTCTATGCTGGTCAGGGACCCACGTAACTATAACTTTTATATTACCTTTCTTATCATGCTATACTGTTATCAGTTATTTCTTTCTTCCTCCTAGACCCAAGTCTCTCTTTAATACGAAATATTTTATAATACCCTCTTTATTATATTTAGATAAAAATTCATAAAAATAATTACACATCATTTTGAAGAAAAAAGTCAATATAATGTCCTGCCCTGACTATATTATGAAGGACAAATAAAAAGAAATTTATAATAAAGTGATACATATATCATTACACACATGATGTTCAGATAGGAGACATCTTTATGAATGAGTCAGATATCTGCCTCTCCTTTTGATGAATAAGGTTGGGCACGAGAGGAACAACATGATCCCAAGCTATTCTGTTCAAGAAGAGGGAATGAGATTAGAGGATACTAGAATAAGAACTAGAGTTAAGATATATAACGGACTATACTTTTATGGGAAGGATGGAAACAACCTTTATTAAAATAAAGATAACATGTTAAGACAAATTTTAGATGTTCTAGGGGAGAAAGTCAGGAAGTGTTAGACTCTCACAAATGAGCATGGATATTTTCACAAATGACTTCCTTATAGAGAAGAGTAGTGTCAAAATAATTCTCCACTAGGACAAGATAAAGGTAGGATTGAAATACCACAGGGAACGTTTATCCTATCTTAAAGCTCCATCACACGCTGCGGCAAGTATTCATTCTCCAGTCGTTCAAGAGGTCCTGGAGAACATATAGGCAATGGGGAATTGAAGCCAAATTGGAAAAAGGAATATCACACTATTGCCTTCATAGAAGTTGGGTGGTAGACAGGGGTGGAGAGTGGAAGAGCAAGGTTACAAAAGCAACAGGCCACCCCCAATAAAGAAATTATTATATAATCGTCACAACGTAGATTTTTTTAATGACTATTCTCCTAAACCTTTTAAGGGCCCAAAATACAAAGTATTTATAAAACAATCTCTGTTAATGAAATTCAGTGAGACCCTTATGTTTCATGTTTCTCTTCCGATTTAATGGCAATTATTTTTTAAGAAGTTTTACACCTCTGCCTTTATTCATCTTTATTTTTTTTAAAATTTTTTATGATAGTCAGAGAGAGAGAGAGAGAGAGAGAGAGAGAGAGAGAGAGAGAGAGAGAGGGAGGCAGAGACACAGGAAGAGGGAGAAGCAGGCTCCATGCACCGGTAGCCCGATGTGGGATTCGATCCCAGGTCTCCAGGATCGCGCCCTGGGCCAAAGGCAGACGCCAAACCGCTGCGCCACCCAGGGATCCCACCTTTATTCATCTTTAATTTGTTCTGTGGCTTTTGAAGTAATTCCCCCTCACTAACATTATTTTCAACTAAATATTTCATTCAATACCTGGAATAATGCATCAACAGAATTGTTCAATGGTTTTAAGAGAATATACTTATGCCATTTAACTTCTCCTGTACAAATTATCAGGCTTATGCAGAACTTCTTGTAAAACCTTTTAGTATTATTATGCATGAAGATATTATTGATTTCCATTTGGCCTGGAGGGACAGACTGACATCAGGTCACGTGCGGGAGATTCCTTTATGCTGGGTTGAGTAGCACATCACAGGACAGTTTACTCTGTGCCGATCATCTGGAAAACCAAAGAGGTCCCCATGCATTTCCACTCCACTCGGTGGCAGGCAAAGTGACCGTGGTTGAGGACCCTTGTTCTACTGTCAACACATTTTCAAAATATTTGCTGACTGAATTTGCTCATTGAGTATCAGTGGGCAAAGGAAGAGTGAAGACCCCTCTTGGCAGAGGTCTTGCTCCTCTAAGGTCCTCTTCAGGTGCACAGCGATCCCGCTGAACTGCTAAGTCTGAAACTGCCACTCCTATGTTGACAACTTTTCCTTGAGTCCTCATCATGCCCAGAACAGGATAACGCCCGTGTGTTTTTGATGTGATGTACATGATCTCTGGGACCAGGACCCTTTCTATCTGTCCAGGCTCTTCTCCAGATACTTTGCACCTTTTGCCAAAGGATGAGTACCAACCTTCTTAGAGCTGCCTCTGTGTCTCTGGGGACATTATCCCCTCAGGTGGCCACCAGCTATGGATGGCTATTTCATAGGTGGGCCAAGGTTCAGCTCCCAGGTCATCTCTCTGGAAAAACATCTCTCCCAGGAAGCTAAACCTGACCCATCAGACCAGAGTAAACGTTTCCCAACCTCTGGAGTTCCACAGTGTCTTGCATAAATTTCTAGACACACTTCTCAGATGAATCAGAGATCTGTTTGTTTGTCTTCGTCCTACTATCCTGACCCCACAGCCCATCACTATATTATAAACTTTCCAAGGGTATGGACCATACCTATTGATTTTTGTATTTTTAGCAAAAATGTGTTCAATCCCGTGCATGCACACACATGTGCGCTCTGTCTTACTCAGTACACCCAAAATACATTTTGTGAAGTGAATTAAAATAGTTGATTCTAGTATCATTTATTTAACAAGTATCCAAAATACTCTGTGGCACATACCTCAACCTTGACAAAACAACATCTTATTTGTCTAATCTAAACTTGATTAATTTATGACGCATTTTGAATGGTTCCAAGTATTTTGCTGGGTACATGGAGTTGTCAGTGCGCTAAAGAGTTGGTGCTACAGCTCAAAATTTAACCACATAATGAATTAACATGAGGATTTGGTAATAGGACAACCTAAAAAGATTTCTGACTAATAGCGAACCAAATTAAGCGTAGGGGGATCAAACTTAACTATGTAAGCAGACCAACCTGATGGTTCTGCTGTTAAATTTAATTTTTAATGAAATGTAAATTTTAAATAAAACCGCTTTTCTAATAACCTATGAGTGTCTCATGTCAATGAAATGCAATTTCCATTAAGGAGAAGTATATCAAAATACCTCCCTAGAGTTCATAACTTTTATCTCAAGAAAAAAGGATATTTATCAGTATATTCTCTGAGATAAAATTTTCCTGGTATGATTTTCTTTTCTTTTTTTTCTTTTTGGTATGATTTTCAACTTATGTTACCTATTTTCTCTACCTAGGCGACTTTTTTTTCCCTACAGGAATAAAGTGAAAAAATATCTAGCAGTGAGTACTAGAAGAAAGATGTATTCAGTAATAGTGAATTTTCTGATGAACACACTGGGAAGCTGGATATTAAATAATAAGAAAACTACCTTACAAGTCTCAATGAATGAACAATTCTCAACGAAATAACTACTCAGTATATTTGTTATGCACTGGGCTTTTCTCTATTCACAAGTGGAACATAAACTTGGTGGAGTTTTTTTTTTTTTTTAAGCTAATCCTTATTCGGTGCATTACATGGAAGCCAGCTTGACAAATGGTTTGAGGCTGTGGTCTCATGATGTCAGCATCATAATGATTTATTCACTTGGGGATGAAAATGATCCAAGACACTGTCCCCAACTTCATTACACAAAAGGAAAGGGAAATGCTCTATTAAGAGTTTGAGCTAAGTTGCTTCTTTAGGGGCAATTTTAGATATTAAATTAGAACAGAAGACATGAATTTCTTTTCATACATGAATCCAGCCAGGTATAATGTGGTCCTGCGGTACCAGTGAAGGTAGACTTGAATTTATTTTTTATTTTTTAAAAGATTTTATTTATTCATGAGAGACAGAGAGAGACAGAGAGAGAGAGGGAGAGAGAGCCAGAGACACAGGCAGAGGGAGAAGCAGGCTCCATGCAGGGAGCCTGATGTGGGACTCGATCCCGGATCACGCCCTGGGCCGAAGGTGGCGCTAAACCGCTGAGCCACCCCGGCTGCCCGGTAGACTTGAATTTAAATGAATTATCTTATGGTTCTAAAGAGCTTATTAGAGGACTTTAGTCTTTACAAGTTAATTAGCATCCACTTGACACTAAAATCAGAAATATGACCAAAAAATATATAACAAATAACACTCTGTTTACTTACAGAACTTTAAGACTGTGAAGGCCAGTGAATGCTCCCTTGGGAATGTATGTCAAAGCGTTTCCGGCAAGACGTCTGTGGGTTTCAAGGGAGAGGAGAGACAGTGAGCAGAGTTCTCTTCATGTGGAATTCATTTAGTTGTTAAGAAATGCAATAGAATTTTGTTCAAACCACAAATGCCAAAGATAACTGTAAAAAACTTTGTCTTGTCATATTCCGTGAAAAGTTTCTGTAAATTTCTAATAAAAAAACTGGCAAAAGAGATGCCTGCGAAGGCGTATTAAACATGACCTATCGGACAATAAATCATTTACTAGCTTGGACTATATGCATAGTTCTCCTTTCTAAAAAATTTTTTTTATTTTTATTTATTTTATTTTATTTTTTTTTCTAAAAAATTTTATACAGAAGTTAGCAACACATAATATCCTTCAAAAATTGTATCGTCCAAATGTGATGGTCACATGATTTTTACAATTAACCTCTATAAGCATAAGTAACATAAGAGTATTTCTGTTGCAATTATCTCACAAAATACCCAACTTTCTTACTTAGGTTGGCAAATAAGAATGTAGACTATCACTGTTTCTAATTTTTTTTTTATGATAGGCACACAGTGAGAGAGAGAGAGAGGCAGAGACACAGGCAGAGGGAGAAGCAGGCTCCATGCGCCGGGAGCCCGATGTGGGACTCAATCCCGGGTCTCCAGGGCCGTGCCCTGGGCCAAAGGCAGGCGCCAAACCGCTGCGCCACCCAGGGATCCCAACTATCACTGTTTCTTTCCCCCAAACCCTATCAGAAAAGGGTAGAGTAGCTTAATTAACGGTGTGATTGAGCGACGCCTTAAAAAGTGAAAAACAATAAAGCGTGTTTAGTATGAAAGACATTAACATGGTTTATGTAATGGAAGGTTTTGACATGATGAACTGGTAAAAGTTCATGCTTTTAATGAACTTTTTAAAAAGCCTATAATGCTTTTCTGAGTGGGAAACAGTCAAGGTGGCAACATATGCAAAAAAGATGGGCGAGGTATGGCCCCCCGAGCATCTGGTTCAGTCCTTTCTCAAAGTCCCATCGAAGCCATAACCTTGGGTATTTGATGGTCCCACAAGATGGAAAATCCAACACCATCACCACAGTGACTCAGGAGAGCACAGGACCTTTTACGGAGCTGATCACACTGGAGAGGGTCGGGTAACACTGGGAATCAAGACACCCCTGTGTTTTCTTGATGGAGATGGAGATGGAGGTAGAGGGTGGAGGGGCCCACCTGACTGACGCTTATTCCTAAAGGGCTTAACAGCTTCACATTCATATTTTGATATTATCTACAAAGGAGACAGAACTCAGTTCTGCTGAGTTCCCCTGATGGGACTGAAATGGTCCCCTGACCATTGGGCGTGCGCCTTCCAATAAGCATCCTGTGCGGGTCCACACGCTAATAGTAAACTCTGAGCATTTTTTAAAAAAGATTTTATTTATTGAGAGATTTATTTATTTATTTATTTATTTATTTATTTATTTATGAGAGACCCAGAAACAGAGGCAGAGACCCAGGCAAAGGGAGAAGCAGGCTCCATGCGGGGAGCCCAATGCGGGACTCGCTCCCAGGACCCCGGGGTCATGCCCTGGGCGGAAGGCAGGTGCCCAGTCGCTGAGCCACCCAGGGGCCCCTAAACTTTGAGGACTGACGTAAGTAGGATCCCATACACAGAACTTCTGAATGGCGCTTTTCGTACGTGCATTAGGAAGCACGATTTGTTCGATCCAAGTCAAATCGACTTGAAATGAGAATAGATCACAATTGTTGTCATCTCGCTCTAGCTGTCAAGTACGTTTGTATTTCTAAGTTTCATTTCCTCCCTGATCCCACGAAAGATGGAGATAGCGTAGCTACTCAGGTCCCCCTAGCTCTGGAACTCTGGTTTCTCCGACTCGTCTTGGGTTCACCTGCTTTCCCTTCTGTTAACCAATCTAGTCGTGTCGAGACGCGGACAGCTTTCACAGCGTGCTCCCCTGCCTTCCATGTGGTGGCCATGGGCGTCTTTCTCAAACCCGACAAAAATTGACTGGCTTGGAAGAGAATCGAGGAAAAAAAAAACCCCAAAGTACAACAACCACAGACTGAATTTTCTACTCTAGTAAAAGTACCATTTTATGAAAGCTTTGTTTTGAAATATGTTGGTGGAACTGGCTTGTGGGGAAGAAAGTGATTTCCTCCTGCCTGTGGTCAGAAGAGTGCGAGGGCCGCCAGCGCAGAGCACGGTGAAGGCTTCCACTGCGTGTCGGTGACATGGGAGTCAGGCAATATGTAACCAGGGTGGGTCCACGGGTGTTTTGCTTGTTTCCTATGAGGTTGTCTTTCTAGAACACCCCTTGAGGCTCCCGGGCTGGCCTCCAGCTGGCCTCCCACATTGGATCCCCCACCCCCACTCATCCTGTGTCCGCTGGTGGTCTTTGGGACACCAACTCTGACCGTATCACTGCCCTGCTCAGCATCCTTCGCCGGTTCCCAAGCCAGATGGAAAGGAAGGCCGCATCCTCAGCCGCCCCCGCCATCCAGGGTCTGAGCTGGGTGCTGGAGTGGGTGCACCCGAGGCTCGCTGGCCTCAGCATCCCCCCGGCCCCTTGCTCTCCCTGCCCAGCCCTCTCGGCGACTGCATCCCTTCGCTTTCCAAGCTTGATGGGCAACCTCCCCTTGGCCTGGCCCCGCTTTGGGGGCACTTTGTGCCTCTCTAGTGGGTTTGCTGGCCACCTCGTGTCCGGTGTGCACTTGTCCCGTCACAGACGTGACACTGGCTATTCCCTACGGGTGGGAATCCTGTGTGTCCGGGGTAGGCCCTTGTGCAGCGCCTGGCCCCGAAGGGGCTGCCCCATACATCGGAGTGGACACCACCAGCTGTCCCCGCCTCCGTCGCCCCCTCCTTCCAGAAGAGCTGCCTGTACCCAGAGCTTAATGGACTGTCCGGTCACTCGGCTCGAGACCACACCTGCTGGCCTTCCTTGCAGCCACGCTGGGCTGTGAGCGGAGCGCCGTTGGGGGGTCCTGGGTCACCCCCGAGAGAGGCTGCTTGTCCTCCGCTCTGCCTGACGGGGAGCTCCTGCGGGCGGCGCTGGCCTGGAGAGCCCTCTGAGGAAGGCGCGGCAAGGACAGGGAGGCGCGAGTGGCCCTGGGCCCCTGAGGGCTTCACGGGGCGCAGCCGCCCGGCCCCCAAGTCAGATTACTCAGCTGGCGAGGCCGGTTGGCCTCCCCTGTCACAGACCTTTCTAGATGCCGGGCTCGAGGGACCACGTTTGCAGCCAGTGTTCCGACTGCAGCGTTGTCGCCTCGCTTGACCTCCCTTGGTCCTCGCATGGTGGCTGGCAGCCGCACTCCAAGCTCTCTGGGACACTGCTGTCGCTGTGCTCCTGACAGCCATGCTGAGGCAGGGGGACATGGCCTTCCCCTTCCTTCTGGCAGCCTGTGCCTGCACTGTGGGGTGCTGGGGATGCCGGAGGGGGGCCAGATGTGCCCGGCTCTGACCCTGCCAGGTGCGCCCGGCCCGACCTTGCCAGGTGTGCCCGGACCCCACCAGGTGTGCCCGGCTCTGACCCCACCAGGTGCGCCCGGCCCGGCTCCCACCAGGTGCGCCCGGCCCGGCTCCCACCAGGTGCGCCCGGCCCTGACCCTGTCAGGTGCGCCCAGCCCAGGCCCCGCCAGGTGCACCCCACCCGGACCCCGCCAGGTATGCCCAGCTCTGACCCCACCAGGTGCGCCCGGCCCGGACCCCGCCAGGTGCGCCTGGCCCAGGCCCTGCCAGCCTCCTTACTAACGGGCCACGCAGTCATTGGCGACGCCACAGCAACACGCCACACGAGACCCACTCCGAGAAACCCACCAGGGCAGGGGGCTGGAGAGCAGCGTGCGGGGCAGCGAGCTAGAATTTCAGCCCCGAGCCTCTCTGCGGGGACGGCGTTTCAGCGGACGTCTGAGCCACGCGGGCCCCTGGGTGAGGGCAGCGGTCATGCAAAGGCCCTGAGCGGGGACTACAGGGAGGCCCGTACAGCCGGAGCGGGGTGACAGACGGAGACAAGGGTAGGGGCGACTTGGAGAGGCGCCGGGTCTACCTCCCACAGGGCTCTGGCGGCCACGGCCCAGGAGAGGGCATGTCATCAGATCTGGGCTTTAGGTGGTTTAGTTTTTGAAGATTTTATTTCTTCATTTGAGAGGAGGGGGAGAGCGAGTGAGCAGCAGAGGGGCAGAGGTGGAGGCAGCAGCAGGCTCCCCGCGGAGCCCGGAGCCCGAGGCTGGTCTGCACCCCGGGGCCCCGGACATCACCCGAGCCGAAGGCCGCCGCTTACCTGACAGAGCCCCCAGGATCCCTGCATCTGTGCCTTAAACTGGTCCTTCTGCCAGGAGCTTTTATAGGCGAGAGTGGAGTGGAAGTGTGTGTGTGGGGGTGACCAGAGCAGGTCAGGTGGGGGTGCTGGCGCAGGCATGTGGGGCAGGAGACAGGGAGGCCCAGCCGGCAGCCTCTGAGGGTTGAGGGTCGGGGTGAAACACAGGCTGCCCCAGAAGAAGAGCGCTTTCTGTTTATGGCCATAGCGTAGGTCACTCACGTTGGCCGGCTACCCTACGTGCTGGTGCAGCCCGCTAAGGAGCTGCGTGTGGGTGGGAGCCGGTTAAGGATCGAGGGCCCACTCAGGCTTGGCTGGTGACATGTGACTTGACCAGTCACACTGAGCTGACAGATAATGGTCATTTCATCCCAAGGGTCCCTAACTGCCCCTGCTCAAGGCCCGAACCTCAACGGTACCTCTCTGAGTCCAGGGCAGAGCTTTCAAACGTGGGCTCGGCTCCTGGGCCACCAACGCCACCAGGGTCATCAAGGAGCCTTGATGGTTCCTGAGACGCAGACGTTGGAGATGAAAGGGAGGGAGTCCAAACTTTTTATTTACTTATCTTGTTAGCTAAAATCGTTGTCAGGCCAAATACCTTCCTATCACTTCCCACGCATTGTTTCTGTTTCCTGGGCGAGGGCTGTGGAGCCCAAGTCTGCATCCACAACTAACCCGTGGACCCGGGAACCTGTGCT